CAGTTCGCAGAATCACTCAAAGAGGTACGCGCAAAGGGCAAATAACATAAATAGCAAGGCGCATCAGACAGCCGGTGCGATCATGGGTTTTGTGCAATTTAGCCCATCAAACGATTGCCTATTAATGACTTTTACTGCTTTGTACTTTATACAAAAGTAGTTCAAACATTGGGAAACTGTTAAAAATTTCACGCACCAATGCATTAAAGCTGAAATCGAAACACTGAAGAGTGAATACCTTTCCGTGATTCCCGAGTTAATAGTTTACATGCCAAAATTTTCACGAGGCCGTGGGTGATACCCGAGAGCGCGGGAACGCTGAATTTGAACAGGCAATGAGCGTGGACAGGGAATCATTACCCTAAATTTCAACTTCCTAGACTCCGTGGTTTTCGAGACAATAATTTGCCCCTCCAAAATTTTCACGAAGACGTACTAGTTACTCGCGGGCAAGGGAAAGCTCAATTTAGATTTCTGGGTAGTACACGGGTGGGGGACATGCTCACAAGATTTCAGCCTTCTACCTTCCGTGGTTCCCGAAACACTGATTTTACCCGAAAAACTTTTATGCGCCGTACGTGTTACCCGCGGGTGCGGCGAGGCTGAATTTAAATTTATCGCGTGACCCGCTGGCCGGGAACACTATACTAAAATTCCAGCCGCCTAGCTTTTGTGGTCCTCAGTGCAGGACAAAATGTGGGACACACACACACACACACACACACACACATAACACCGTGACAATATGCGTTTTGTATTGCTCTTAGAAAGCACAACACGCATAAAAAAACCCTTACTAAATGCCACAAAAACCCCAAAAATTTACCCATTTCGCTCAATATGGCACAATCATACAAGGGGTCGTACTCCACGACACGTTACGAGGACGAACGATGAACGGGAGGAGGTGAACGAAAGAGGGATGTTGAAAAGGAAGGAATGGAGGCCAATCGCTCGAGGTTTGCATAATTCGCATACCGCGCATGGCAATCGGGTCGGCGCTGGTCGCCCGATTCTCTCGCTGCAGTCACGATTTGAAACGCGCACCCCTTTACAATTGCAACAGATGGCAGCGCACCCCCGCCCTTTGCTCTCCCCCCCCCCCCCCCCCCCCCCCCCCCCCC